TTTTCAAAGACAAAGTTTACTAGTATCTGATTGGTCTAAAGTTTTCTTTGTTAAATATAATCACGATTGCACAGTAGCTCATGAAAATGAATCGTAGAAAAGATTTTCTTCTTCGCTGTTTACTTTTTTTTTCTTATGACCGAATATGGCAGGGTATATTTCGTTCATTAACTCTCTCCATGCATCTCATCAGACAGAACTAGAAGAAATTATAAAAGACTTTATCCTTGGACAAATAAATACAAAAACTCAGCGATACTTAACTTCCCACACATTTTGTGTGACATGCAAAAGTGTTGGTTATACAACTACTGACTTCCTGAGAGACAGTAAATAGACAGTCCATCTTATTCTTCCTACCATTAATTTACCTTTGTAACCAATTCTGTTAATCTGTAATTTCGATTTTACATTTATTTGTAAATATTCATTCAGGCATCTATACAACACAAAATAATTGAACAAATAATATACTTTTAGATAATTTCCTCCTCTTCTGGCTCTACAATTATATATAAACAGATGTTTATATACTTAGAATATTCTAGATTAGTAGTCAATAACAATATTGGCGTGCTTTTTAAATAATATCGATTTGTAAAGTAAGATCACAATGGAATTACCACAGTTCATTAAAGATGCACACCTGATATCTATGGTCGGCCTGCGAAATTTTGGGCTACCGATATCCACGCTGAAAACTCCATACTTGTACGAAAAATACGGTGTGGAATCAAGCTGTATTCAAAAATAATAATAATAATAATAAAGATATAATAGCAAATAGAATATCAACTAAAATTAGGAAAATTCCACAACTAATTGAGGATCATTCAAACTTAGGTGGCCAAGTTAAGGACAATGTCTGAACTAGCTTCTTCTTTTGGACGCACAAATTAGGTTTCTTAATGTGGATCCCCAACAGCCAGCTTCAACAATATTTAATAAACGAACTCTTAAGGCGAAGTTAAAATTTGTTGGTTGGTATGTAGTAAATGACTTTGAAGACTGTCTCGTTGACATCAATTTTGTGTTCTGTGTATCCACAAGATAAGTGAGATAGAATAGCGATGTGTGAATAGATTTTATTTGTCCTTTACTTAACCACTATTCAGGGTGATGTTCGGAAATCTGACAATAAATACGCCTAATTGTACGGCCTATGCAACTAACTGGCTCCACAGGAGCGGTTATTGACTACTCTTCTAGAATATTTTATGTATATAAACATGCATGTATCATTGTAGAGCCAGAAGAGGAGGAAATTATCGAGAAGGATATTCTTTGCTAAATGTTTTTTGTTTTTATAGTTATTTTATCGACATTTATAAATGCAACTGTTTCTGCCAATTGTTTTACCTCTTACTGTGTAGTATATAGTGAAAAATAAATGAAATTTTGTACTACCTGCTGAGAATTCCACATTGTATGAAATTTACCAGTAGTATTATTCAAGTTTTGGTTTTCAAAGGATTTGATTGATTGATCACAGGATTTCTTCATGATCTGGCATCGGTTAGAAAACCAATGGAAGACCAGCTGGGAGTGCGTACTGATGAAAAGTCCGGAACTAGGACGAAGCAGCTGTCCACTCGTCCCTGGCAGATCTTCCAATGTTTCTCAAACCATGATGGAATCGTGTAACTAGCGTTATTATTTCTAATTGAATTTTAGATTTTCCCGTCGATTGATTGGACTGAAGTGCTCGGTCTCACGTTGACATGTCGGCCTCTTGTGCAGATGGTTCAACGATGTCTGGGCATTCAATTAGAAGTTAACTGGTGGATGGTGACTAGCAGTGGAATCCAAGATAACGCGCATTTCGTTTTATTCGGGACTCGTTAGCCGGATGTACCTGCATTTCCCAGTGAGTGATGATATTCCCACCAAGGCTTGAACCCAGTGTCCAAATAGTCTAGTGGATAACGCTTTGGCGTTTAAAACTGTGGGCACTGGGTTTGAGCCTCGGTGGGAACATCACCACTCACTGGGGAATGCAGGTACATCCAACTAGCTGACGAGTCCCAAATAGACGAAATGCGCATCCCGGTGGATTCCACTGCTAGTCACCATCCGCCAATTAAATTCTAGTATTATTATTATTATTTCGGTGAAAAACAGTCGACTTAAAAAGGTTGGACAATTTGAAAGAAAAACCATGAGGAACTGAAGTGAGTCCGCTAACATACACAACCACACAACACAGTAAAAAAAGATCAACATTCCTGAAAAGTAATATACTTAAGGTGAGAGAGAGAGAGAAAATGATCACTAGATCTTTGATCATTGAGTCAACATGTGATACGTATGCAATAGGTATGATGCGACACTGGCACTAGAGATATGAAGAATTTTATTTCCAGTAAAATCAATAATAGGGACCTACTAAACATAAAGCCATTTCCTTGAATGAATATTTTTCGATGGTTAGTGCTTTATTAGCAATGCACAATATTCAGCGAAGTGACTCTTTTCAACAACGAATTTATTATCAAGCTGTACAATCATGTATATATAGAGGTTTTTTATAAGAAATTACATCCAATGAGGGAACTGAATGAAAGATGTGAATACATGAAATAATAATAATGTGTTAGTGGGATAAAAACATTAAGTTCCATGGAGTTTTATTCCCACAGTAAGAATCATTGTATATGTTGGTGTTAACGTCTGAATACCTTTGCTTCCCTGTCTTGCCTTCTGCTGTTAGAATAGTATGAAATATTTGTGATTATAATCATAGTTAAATATCAAGTAGCAAAACAATTAATGTCATATATAGAACATTTAGAAAATCAAAACAAATGATTCAGCGAAGAGACTCTTTTCAACAACGAATTTATCATCAAGCTGTACAACCGTATATACACATATGGTGTTTAAGAAGTTATATCCAGTAAAGGAATTGAATCATAGGTGTGAATGCATAAAATAATAATAATAGTATGAAATGTAATTAAAACTAAAATGTTTGAGATCACAATCATAGTTAAATGTCAAGTGGCAAAACAAATAATGTCATGTATAGAATAATTCATAGGATGCATAAAGCTTAGAAGTGGTTTGAAATTATAGGATTAGTAGACAAATCGAATAAAATAAAATAGTTGCGTAATATTGCGTGAAATTTGATAGCATAGAATTTAACGTTGTAAAAGAGGATTGACTTAGAATGACAAGTGGAACAAGTGAAACAATACCGGGGACAGTTCAGAGTGAGAATAGAAATAGTAACAATTGACGTAATAAGGAAGAGTATACAAATTGAATAGACAAAATAAAAAATGAAAAATTAGTAGAGCTAAAATATGATTGGGGATTACCATATTTTAGCATAGAGCGATTAAGACCATGAAAGTTGGAGGGGTTGAACACTTCATAAGATGTAGAGATATTGTTGGAAATGGGTGCATAGCTATACGATTAGTAGGCGAATATAAAATGTTACATAATATGGGGAGAAATTTGATAAGATAGAATTCAGTATTGTAAAAAAATCCTTTTTAATTTAGAATGACAAGTGGGACAAGCGGAAACAATTCAGAGTGAGAATAGTAATAATTATAATGATCACAGTAATAAGGGTAAGGTATATAGATTAGCTAAATAAGCAAAATAAATAAATGGCCATCCCTTTACGGCCAAGGCAGAAGTAGGGATTGGACATACTTCTTCTGTACACAAAGGTCTGACTGGCTTAAATTCATGAATGGCCAAGCTCTCGGCTGTCTTTCTAAGTTTATTACGAAGAAAACTCAGCAAGTTAGCATGGATTCAGTAGATGATCTTAAAATCATGCTCAGGGTTGGTAGAGTGATACGAGTTGATCAGGTGTTCTAGAATAGAGCTTAGCACACTCTTGCTTTCTCCCTTGTGAAATCACGCTGCTGGAATATGTTCTCGTATCCATGTGGAAAGCGTTCTCTGTCTGCGGATAATGTACCTTGCTCCACAATAGGGTCAAGTGAACTGATAGATGCACATGGAGGCGGTCAGAAGGGGGGAGCTTGTCTATTTTTGCAGAGATGGGGAATAAATTGTGGCTGGTGATTTTCACCTGTAACTGTGCTGCAAAGAACGTCCTAATGACTGCTTTAAAGGGACGGTTTTTGAGTACATCTGAAGCTTGATCGCTTGCGAATTCCAAGTTCATGAATAAGGTTTTCTTTGAGATTGAGTAGGTAACTAGTTTGGACTGCTTAGCACATACAATTATACAGCTTGGTAATAAATTCACTGAAAAGAGTCTCTTCGCTGAATATTGTGTTCTTAATGACACAACGGGTATTACTAGGCTTTATGACATGAAATGTCATTAAAGAGTGTGTCGATGGCACAGCGGTTAGGACACTCGCCGACCATGCACACGGTCCGGGGTTCGATTCCCAGCCACCGATGCACTCCTCTATCTCGCTAAACCAGTTATTTGACTGTTAAAGGGGAAGGTTGGGCGTGAGGTTAGCAACCCATACCGTGAAAATAATCACCCCTGCTACAGAAACTTCAAGCCTCTAGCTTGAAGACCTATTTTTCACTGTGAAAGGGAGGGAATAAAAAAGTAGGTTCCAAATAGGATAGAAATTTTCTCAATAATTTCACTTATATACCTCAGATAAATCCGTCTTTTGGTGTTAATTTTATGATGAACTGTTCAGCAGAGTTTAATTCAATTTTAATTATTCTCCAGGATCATCCACAGTCACGTATTTACGGCACTGAATGAGCAGTAATCTTCTTGACCATTGCAGCTATGTGTGTTTGTGTGTGCAATTGACTGAAGGAGATATCAAACAAGACGCTCAGTGAATTTGCACTTCTCTTATTAATACTAAAACAATAAAAGAAAACTGTCACTTATGATTTACCATTGACATCCTGCAGAATGGAACCTATATGAAACTGCTTTCATTTAAAGAGATTGATACTAAGCAAACAACACCACTGCTACATTTTTGTAGTAATTTATTGTACTTGGAAATATTAATATACCGGGATGACGGAATTATAGGAATCTAATCAAAACCCAGAGAGGGCAGCAATCAGTAATTTGTATTTAGCGGAATTAGAATGCAATTCATATAAGAAACATATCAACAGTCAACAGTAAGTATTTAAACAATACAGAGATAGAAATTGTCAATCACCACATCCGCCACACCTCGAATATCTCCTCGCGTATTTATAACGATGTCTCGGTTTGCTTGCAAGTAGCTGCGACCTTCTAACTGATTCTGTGATATTACCTTCATCAGTATTATCTGGACTTATTTCTGAATTATCTACAAAATCAGGATTATTAGCGGAATCAATAATATTATAATTGGAACGACCTACTTCATTTATTGTCACTTTGTCCAGGTGTCCGTTATGAACTGAGTGATCTTTGATGTCTAATATCTTCACCACTCGATTTCCCATTTTTTGTAGTATGATTCCAACAGAAGGTCTATAGTCATTCCCTTTGTAATAATGTACATTAGAAGTAGTGGACATCAGATGCTTTTTGAGAATTCGAGATTTGAAAAGTTTTGCAGGACTTTCACGGGTACTTGTATGCTCTGCATTCAACAGACGTAGTCTATGCATATGCAGTAATTCCTCCATTTTAATCAGTTGCTCTCTCATCTCATTCAGTTTTTCTCGTGTTTTCGACAGTTCACATTGCAACTCGGCTACCTCATTTTTGAAAACAGTTGACGCTTGCGTTGCTGAACTTGCAGTGGAGGTTTTCATTGGATTAGCTTGAGTATTTTGAAAAGTTGAAAGACACATTGACTCCATTTTACTAGACAGCTTGGGAGAATTATAAGAATGTTGAGTAACATAAGTATTCGAACTTCTGCAAACAGTCTTGATGTGTCCAACTTTACCACATTTATAGCACTTAGCACTCCGAAAACGGCAAGTGCTTCGTAGATGTAACTTTCCACAGGATAAACACGGTTTAATGTTTTTGATCTCTCGCTGCATTCTATTACCTGTGGACGGCAGTTTGGATTGCTTTCCATTACCACTTGTATTTTCGACTTTAGAAAGCATAACATCAGACACTGACGTAGTGGGAGCAGAGTATTCATTATTGACATCTTCATATGTAATACATACATCTTTAGCAGTTTGAAAGGTACAAGAAGGAATCTGAATTAACTCTTTCTCTAATTTAGGAATGTTGATTCCAGCAATTAGACGATCACGTAGTTGAGTATGCAGCTGATCTCCAAAATTACACTTTGAGGCTTGAATTTGAAGTTGAAGAATGAAGTCTCATATCTTCTGATTGGGAGAACGTACCAGTTTATTGAATTGAGCCCTCTCTCTGGTCTCAAATGTAGTTACATGAAAGTGATTTATCAGAAGTTCACGGATCTTGTCATATGACATAGAAATGGGTTTATCTGGAAACGCCAGATTCTTCACCAGGCTATATGCATCAAGCCCAATAGCGGTGATGAAATGAGCAGGTATTTTATCATCCCGAACATTCTTGGAAATGCACCACGCATCAAAGCATTCCAAATAATCAGCAATCTCCCGCGGAGAACCATTAAGAGGAAATTTTCCCAGGTTACTTAGCTCCATCGCGACGCCAATTTGTAGTAATTTATTGTACTTGGAAATATTAATATACCGGGATGACGGAATTATAGGAATCTAATCAAAACCCAGAGAGGGCAGCAATCAGTAATTTGTATTTAGCGGAATTAGAATGCAATTCATATAAGAAACATATCAACAGTCAACAGTAAGTATTTAAACAATACAGAGATAGAAATTGTCAATCACCACAATTTTCGTAAAGCTGTATTAGGTAATCAGATATATCAGTGAAGGCTGTTCAGTGTCTTTTGTCGATACGAGTGACTTGAATGAATTCTACCGACTAGGTGTTTTTCTCTTGTAATTATTTGTAATCGTAGTATTAGTATTTCGAGATGACCGAATTACAAGAATCCAACCTAAACACAGAGAGGGCGGAATTCAGGAATTTGTATTTAGCGGAATTGTTATTGCAATTCATATAAGAAACATATCAACAGTCAACAGTAAGTACTTAAACAATACAGAGATAGGATATTTCAATCACCACATCCGCCACACCTCGAATATCTCCTCGTGTATTTATAACGATGTTTCGGTTTGCTTGCAAGTAAATGCGACCTTCTAACTGATTCTGTGATATTACCTTCATCAATATTATCTGGACTTATTTCTGAATTATCTACAAAATCAGGGTTTAGATATGATAGAGAAGATTTGTAGCTCAGGTGGATAATTTTGATGTGGTTTTGTTCTCTGAGCTGGATAGTTAGTTTGCGAAGCTTTCATCACCTTACTGGGTGACATCTTCAGCGCATACTTCAAATTGAAGTGAGCTTTTAGGTTTCTCCACGAGTTTATTAATCATTCCTCCTGGTGACCTTGGACGTGATTGGTTGTTTATGTATGTTTTCACACCTTCTAGGTTACTTGTGTTGGAACACAACGAGATAGACAAAATTTATCAACCAATAAGAAAGAAACTTCACACACGATTGGCCAAAGTTCAAGTCACAGAAACAATCAGTTCCAACACAAGTAACCTAGAAGGTGTGAAAACATACATAAACAACCAATCACGTCCAAGGTCACCAGGAGGAATGATTAATAAACTCGTGGAGAAACCTAAAAGCTCACTTCAATTTGAAGTATGCGCTGAAGATGTCACCCAGTAAGGTGATGAAAGCTTCGCAAACTAACAATCCAGCTCAGAGAACAAAACCACAACAAAATCAGGGTTATTAGCGGAATCAATAATATTATAATTGGAACGACCTACTTCATTTATTGTCACTTTGTCCAGGTGTCCGTTATGAACTGAGTGATCTTTGATGTCTAATATCTTCACCACTCGATTTCCCATTTTTTGTTGTATGATTCCAACAGAAGGTCTATAGTCATTCCCTTTGTAATAATGTACATTAGAAGTAGTGGACATCAGATGCTTTCTGAGAATTCGGGGTTTGAAAAGTTTTGCAGGACTTTCACGGGTACTTGTATGCTCTGCATTCAACAGACGTAGTCTATGCATATGCAAAAATTCCGCCATTTTAATCAGTTGCTCTCTCATCTCATTCAGTTTATCTCGTGTTTTCGACAGTTCACATTGCAACTCGGCTACCTCATTTTTGAAAACAGTTGACGCTTGCGTTGCTGAACTTGCAGTGGAGGTTTTCATTAGATGAGATTGAGTATTTTGAAAAGTTGAAAGACACATTGACTCAATTTTACTAGACAGCTTGGGAGAATTATAAGAATTCTGAGTAACATAAGTATTCGAACTTCTGCAAACAGTCTTGATGTGTCCAACTTTACCATATTTATAGCACTTAGCACTCCGAAAACGGAAAGTGCTTCGTAGATGTAACTTTCCACAGGATAAACACGGTTTAATGTTTTTGATCTCTCGCTGCATTCTGTTACCTGTGGATGGCAGTTTGGATTGCTTTCCATTACCACTTGTATTTTCGACTTTAGAAAGCATAACATCAGACACTGACGTAGTGGGAGCAGAGTATTCATTATTGACATCTTCATATGTAATGCATACATCTTTAGCAGTTTGAAAGGTACAAGAGGGAATCTGAATTAACTCCTTCTCTAATTTAGGAATGTTGATTCCAGCAATTAGACGATCACGTAGTTGAGTATGCAGCTGATCTCCAAAATTACACTTTGAGGCTTGTATTTGAAGTTGGAGAATGAAGTCTCATATCTTCTGATTAGGAGCACGAACCAGTTTATTGAATTGAGCCCTCTCTCTCGTCTCAAATGTAGTCACATGAAAGTGATTTGTCAGAAGCTCACGGATCTTGTCATATGACATAGAAATGGGTTTATCTGGAAATGCCAGATTCTTCACCAGGCTATATGCATCAAGCCCAATAGCGGTAATGAAATGAGCAGGTATTTTATCATCCCGAACATTCTTGGAAATGCACCACGCATCAAAGCATTCCAAATAATCAGCAATCTCCCGCGGAGAACCATTAAGAGGAAATTTTCCCAGGTTACTTAGCTCCATCGCGACGCCAATTTGTAGTAATTTATTGTACTTGGAAATATTAATATACCGGGATGACGGAATTATAGGAATCTAATCAAAACCCAGAGAGGGCAGCAATCAGTAATTTGTATTTAGCGGAATTAGAATGCAATTCATATAAGAAACATATCAACAGTCAACAGTAAGTATTTAAACAATACAGAGATAGAAATTGTCAATCACCACTCAACAGTAAGTATTAAACAATACAGAGATAGATTCAATCACCACATCCGCCACACCTCGAATATCTCCTCGTGTATTTATAACGATGTTTCGGTTTGCTTGCAAGTAAATGCGATCTAACTGATTCTGTGATATTACCTTCATCAATATTATCTGGACTTATTTCTGAATTATCTACAAAATCAGGGTTATTAGCGGAATCAATAATATTATAATTGGAACGACCTACTTCATTTATTGTCACTTTGTCCAGGTGTCCGTTATGAACTGAGTGATCTTTGATGTCTAATATCTTCACCACTCGATTTCCCATTTTTTGTTGTATGATTCCAACAGAAGGTCTATAGTCATTCCCTTTGTAATAATGTACATTAGAAGTAGTGGACATCAGATGCTTTCTGAGAATTCGGGGTTTGAAAAGTTTTGCAGGACTTTCACGGGTACTTGTATGCTCTGCATTCAACAGACGTAGTCTATGCATATGCAAAAATTCCTCCATTTTAATCAGTTGCTCTCTCATCTCATTCAGGTTATTTCGTGTTTTCGACAGTTCACATTGCAACTCGGCTACCTCATTTTTGAAAACAGTTGACGCTTGCGTTGCTGAACTTGCAGTGGAGGTTTTCATTGGATGAGATTGAGTATTTTGAAAAGTTGAAAGACACATTGACTCCATTTTACTAGACAGCTTGGGAGAATTATAAGAATTTTGAGCAACATAAGTATTCGAACTTCTGCAAACCGTCTTGATGTGTCCAACTTTACCACATTTATAGCACTTAGCACTCCGAAAACGGCAAGTGCTTCGTAGATGTAACTTTCCACAGGATAAACACGGTTTAATGTTTTTGATCTCTCGCTGCATTCTGTTACCTGTGGATGGCAGTTTGGATTGCTTTCCATTACCACTTGTATTTTCGACTTTAGAAAGCATAACATCAGACACTGACGTAGTGGGAGCAGAGTATTCATTATTGACATCTTCATATGTAATGCATACATCTTTAGCAGTTTGAAAGGTACAAGAGGGAATCTGAATTAACTCCTTCTCTAATTTAGGAATGTTGATTCCAGCAATTAGACGATCACGTAGTTGAGTATGCAGCTGATCTCCAAAATTACACTTTGAGGCTTGAATTTGAAGTTGGAGAATGAAGTCTCATATCTTCTGATTGGGAGAACGTACCAGTTTGTTGAATT